GGAGGAAATCCAGAAGATCAAATGTATGCTAAATTCTGAATTTGACATGAAGGACCTAGGACCTGCTACAAAGATCCTAGGGATGGAGATTACTAGAGATAGGAAAAATGACACCTTATTCTTGTCTCAAAAGTCATATATTCAGAAGGTTCTAGCAAGGTTCAACATGCATGAGGCTAAGCAGGTTGCAACACCTATTGGCCAGCATTTCAGATTGTCAAACTCTCAAGTACCAGAGATTGAAGATGAGAAAATATACATGGAGGGTGTCCCTTATGCCAGCGGGGTTGGTAGCATCATGTATGAGATGATTTGCAGCAGACCAGATTTGGCCTACGCCGTCAGTATTGTAAGCAGGTTCATGGCAAACCCAGGACAGACTCACTGGGAAGCACTAAAATGGATCCTGAGGTACCTGAGAGGCACTACAGACCTTGGTCTACTCTTTAAAAGGCAGGAAGACAAAGAAGAAAAGGTAGTTGGTTACGTGGACTGCGATTATGCAGGAAGCATTGACACCAGGAAGTCACTGACCGGATTCATTTTCACTGTCTTCGGTACCGCGGTCAGTTGGAAGTCTAACATCCAATCCGTCCAATCCGTTGTGGCCCTCTCATCCGTTGTGGCCCTCTCAACAACAAAGGCCGAATACATCGCTGTGACTGAAGCAATCAAGGAAGCTATGTGGCTAAAGGGTATGGCTAAAGAGCTTGGGATACATCAGAATTAGAATTTGATAACTGTGTTTTGCGACAACCAAAGCACCATTCAGCTAACCAGAAATCAGGTATTTCATGAAAGATCCAAGCATATAGATATAAAGCTTTATTTTGTGAGGGATGTCGCCAATGGTTCAATAGTAGTGGAGAAGATAGCTACTGAAGAAAATCCTGCTGATATGCTCACCAAGGTGCTACCGACAGCTAAGTTCAGACACTATCTGGACTTAGTAAACTTCACCAAGGGCTGAGTCCCTCTCAGGGGTCAGGTTGAGGGAATCTTTACTTCGAAGCTTCTCATAATTGATAAGTAGTATTTCGAGCCAAAACGAGCAGAACGCGAAAGAACAAATCTTTGTTCGTGTTTGGCTCGTTAACTTCGCGAACAAGCCGAACACGAGCTGTTCGCGAACGTGCCGTTTTGACAATTGTATTTCTAAGCTGTATGGATATGAAGTTTGAATTTGATTCAAGTTATGTTGTGTGATTGACAAGGCCTCCATGTTCGTCATCTAAAGTTTTTTGGTCTGCATTCAATTAATTTTTTATTTTTATTTTTATTTATTTATTTATTTTTGTGCATAGAATCGATTCTAATCATGTTTTGGTCAATCAACCCCTTCTTGTTTCATATGGGGTGACCCACTTCGGGTTGTCAAGCACATATATACTGCGAGCATTATTGGAATATGATAACATTGTCTTCACCCTCTGCCTGAAAAACCACAGAAGTGTTTTAAGAGGAAATCTCTCTATATTATAAAAAGCACCATTTCAGTTTTTTAGTATGTAAACATTTGAGGGAGATGATCTTTGCTTTTGTGCCCCTCATAACCGCTGAGCTATCTACAAAGTTGCTTGCCATTCTATAGGGATTTAGTCATTTTTTTGGTAACTAGATACCGTTTTGATGTACAAATGGCCAAGCTAGCAATCATGACTTGAGGAACATTTAACATGCTAGTAAACTTGTCTCTAGGTCATCCTTATCTTGTTTGTCAATTTAAATGTTTAATACCATTAAACTTGCTGAGCTTAAGATGTTAAGAGGTAAGTCAGCAGCTTCCTATGTAAGGGAGTCATTTGTGGTGTTTCACTGTGTATTGAATTTGTTCATATTAATGGTCCTTAAATTGTGCCAGGTGTAGGATCCTAATACTTAATTTGATATCATACACTGATTGTTGGTTTGGTGGTCTTCTCATGTACTCATCGATAATGATTTGCTGCTGGATTTGGTTCATGAGGGGGATGGGTGAAACCAAATTTCAAGGCTATAGATGTACCATATAAGTGGGCTAATTATTATGCTGAACATCTTCTGGAGGCTTCTTTGCACAGCACACGGGATGCTTTGTTACATCTTTGGAAGACTTCGTTATGGTATATTTAAGGTGTGTTGTTACACTATTATCGAGGTGCATCGTTGCATCGTATTCGAGGTGTATTGTTACACCATTTTCAGAAGGCATATTTGTACCATATTTGGGATTCATTCTTACACCGTCTTTGGGATGCGTCATTGTAATGTATTTGTGGTGTGTTGTATTGTATTCGGGATACGTCGTTATACCGTCATCGATGTGTGTCATTGCATCATATTTGGGATGTATTGTTACAGTATCTTCAGGTTGTGTTGCTAAATTGTATGTGGGGTGTGTTGTTACACCGTATTCGGGGTGTCATTGCACCTTATTCAGCGTGTGTTGTTACATCCTAAGGATGCATTGTTGCAGTGTACTGAATGATATTTTGTTTCACCGGATGCTTGATTTTTCCGTAACGTACGCCCAGATTCTGCAGTGCACAGTATGAATTTACAAGGACTTCACTGCAAGGTTGACGATGGTGGCTAGTGCATGGTTGTCAGAGTTGTTTGCATGTAGCGACCGTAGCTGCCCAGTGGTTGCAACGACTGCGACTGTCTGAGGCGTCGGCCGTCAGGGTTATATAGATGCGGTAGCTGCCAGAGGTTGCTATAGCATCACCGACCAAAGTTTGTCAAAGTTAGTGGCGGCGACGACCGGAGTTTGGGGGTGGGGATGGGGAGGGGACGGCGGTTGCTGTAGTGGGAAGTATTCGTCGGATCTACGGTACAGAAGCAATGTTAAACTTCATGTCTTTTTCCAACAAGCAGGGTTCTATCAAATTACCAATAAGGAAGAAATTTGAATCATTTGAATCGAACGGCATGGACATATTCCTTCTATCGGACGACATTTGATGAGCATTTGAGGGCCTTAATGAATGTCACAATTGAGCGATCTTAGGCTTGTTAGATTTTTTTTTTGTCGAGACGCTCGATTTGACTATAAATATGTCAGATTTGGAATATGTTTGATCTTCCAATTATGCATTAAAAGCTTCCGAAAGTAATTATCCGGGCTTGTTTTGACTCGGATTAGACCAATTTTAATACCGTTGGGTTATTCTCGCCGAGCAGGTCAGTTTGACTATAAGTTTGTTGAAATCAAAATTCTTGATATCTTTTAAGCGAAATTTGAATGTTTTTTGATAAAAATTTGTCTCAAGATTCGTGTCGTACCTGATAATGGAAATTTGTTATTGCGTATCAGATATGTAAATACGTTGGAATTGGGTGGTATGTGTGTAAATGCCCTTAGATTTTTTGGTTTCTTCTCTTTTTTTAGTGGCCGTCTTAAGGTCTTGCTTTTAATAAAAGATATCTCAAGATCTAAATGCTAACCGAACATTGAAATGAAGTATTAGAATGATTTAAGAGGGACGCGGCATTTTCAAACAAATTCCTTTTCCCAATTTCTCTCAGGATATATTCTAAACAGGGATTATAACGATCTCCCATCCATATTGTGGCGACATTATGAAAAAATTTCATTCCTGAATTCTATTAGAAAGATGATCAGAATTATCTACAGCCTTCACACATTAAAAGCTTCAGTAGTCTGCGAGCTTTCTACCATGGAATCTAATATGAGATTGAAAGAAACATGGCATAAGTGCGGCGTCGACGTTATATAGTGATTTTAACACACTAACATTCCTTTTCATTGTTTTGTTATGATTTGAAATGCTTAAAAATAATAGAATGTAAACTAAAGGATACTGAATTTGTGTAATGATGTGCTACAACAGAACTTGGTGCTTGCAATCTAAATGCTGATTTTGTAGGTATATCGGACATAATGGAAGCGTATCAAGCTGCCGTTAAAAACGCGTCGCCGGGAACTCCTACTGGTCCACCACAGCAGCCCAACTCTGTCCAAGAAAAAGCAAATGTAATCTCCAACCTGCTCATTGTTGATCGTTCAGCTGCCCTGGAGAAGATTCGGGATGGCCTGAAATCTCTGGCTTATGTGATTCTTTCTACCTCCATGCCTCCCAAGTAAAAGGTAAACTTTCATAAATTCTACACCAAATCACTGCTTCAATTCATGAGTTTTGTACATAGATTTTTAGCAAAGTCTCTAGTATTCTTCTGGCCAAGTTATACTGCATGAATGCCTATTTGTTAATCAGACTTATATAGGAGAACATTGCAACATATGAGGTTCGATAATATAAAAGTTGTTTGGGATCACTTTTTATTTTTTTATTACATGTTCTTATGTTTTGATAAAAAAATAAAATTATATATGATATCTTTTATGTGTAAGCCGTTTTTGTTGTATTGAATATTACATGAGGAATTTGTGGCAAGGTGGGTGGCAACGGTTTGCGGCGTGCCGATTGTTGCGCCCAAGTTGGTGATGTTGGGGCCTATGATGGTGGCGCAACATTGACACGGGATTGTTTTGCAGTGGTTTATATTTTATAAATAATAAAAAAAATGTCTAGAAAATAATTAAAATTTATTTTAAGTATAATTCATTTTTAATTTTTTTTAGAAATAAATAGAATGAAAGCATAAGGGAACACAATCTGTTTACTATCTAATATCTAAATTTTATTATTTACACTTATATTATGAAATCTTTGAAATCACATTAGAAATTGTATTATTTTAAGTTTTAAAATGTGAAAAACATGCTTTCATGAATAGATAAGGCGGCATATACGTAAAAATGAAAATTTATGTGTTAGATTTATAAAAGCATTGGGATTAATTGGTATGTATATAAATCTTCCTAAATAGAAACTAAGCATATTTCTTAAAATAATAATAATAATAATAAACAAGCATTTATTCACAATATAATTCCTATGTCTTCAAGTGTCTCACATCTAAATTTGCACATTTGCACACTTGCACACAACATTAAACATTTTAATATCACAACAAAAATAGTACTATTGTAACCTTTTAGAAGTGAAATTCACATTTTCATTCATAAGTTTGAAACATCAAAGTGTTGTGTGAAAATATGAAAGTTTGTGTGAGATATGTAAATACATAAAATCATGTGCTATATGTGTAAATTTCCCAAAAAAATTAATTCTAGAATAGCCATCTGTAATTTCATAAACATATTGGTGTCTTAACTAAGGGCTTTTCCATATGGGGTAAGGTTTTTGAAATAACTGTTTTCTCTTTTCAATGTGGTGACAAAAATTGTCACAATTTGATTGCATTTGGTTGGAGGAAGAAGAAAGCAGTGGTTTGTAAATATTGCAACAATTTGTTGAGCATGTTACTGAATTTATAGTTTATTGGGACTTTCATGCACAGGCATATGCATTGATGTTATGTGTCATGGATAGAATTGAGTCAAGACGTGGAAATATTATTCCATACGGACACTTTTTGCAGAAATTCATATGGTGTCTGATCTCTACCGTCCATCACAGCAAATTAAAAAAAAAAAATCAAAATAGGGTTCACCGTCATATATATTTACTGTGACAAACGGTGGGGATCAGACATCGTATGCATTTCTGCATACGGTATCTGTATGGAATAATTTTTCCAAGACGTGTGATGACCGGGGAGGTGTTGCCTCAATTACGTAATTTAAAAAAAATCAATAATTTTTTTTCCGGGCTTTGTTGATCTCCACCGTGGATGTACAACTAATCAAATATATTTTTTTATAGTTATAATCTAATCTTACAAATATGAGAGATATGACATACCTTGTTGCATTTTATTGTTCTTTGGTTGTGTTGGTGAAGTGCTATATGCTTGAGATTTTAAAAACTTGCATTTTGCTTGTGGAATGTAGAACTCTCATTGTAAGTTTGAACAAAGTGCAGTGTTTTCTTCTTATTTTATGTTTTTAGAATCAAATTCATATCATCTTGTTGAAATATAAATTTTTAAATTAAAACAAAAACATCTTTCTTTTGATGTGTATTTCTTTGATGACAGAGCTTTCATACATACTCCATCATGCAAGCCAACTTTTTTCTTATGTAAATTCACTATCACACACCTTTTCATTCATTGATTACCCTTCATAAATTAACTCATTATTTTCCCTTTTATCATCCTTATATTCTCATTATTATTATTATTGCTATTATTATCTAATTTCATTCTATATGGCTAGTTTCTTACAATTAAAATTAAATTGGTTAAAACAATCTTAATAGCTCTTTAAGCTTTATTTTTGTTTATCGTTCCATCATTGTTCCTTCGTTTTTTATGCTTTAGGAAACAGTTGCACTTTTATATCATTTCTGATCATGTCAGTAGGGCTGTCAAAAAAGCTTGTTGTTCGCGAACAGCTCGTGTTCGGCTCGTTCGCTAAGGTAATGAGCCGAACACGAACAACACGAACAAATATTTGTTCGTTCGTGTTCGGCTCGTTTTGGCTCGAAATACTACTATATATATATAAATTCAAGATTGTAGTTTAGCAGGATGACATGGAAGCATGCGCACCCAGAAAGGAAGTCAGCATTCAGCTCATATACCTATTATGATTTTAGCTCTCAAAGTAAAGCTAAACAAATACCAGCTTTTATGTGCATTTATTATTAAATTTACTCACTACAAAGAAAGTAAAAAGAGAGTTCATTTTCTCGAGCCAGCCTCCTGAGCTCAACAAGCGGCCAAAATAAGCTCGTCGATCAAAAAAGTTCAAACCAAGACAGATTTGGCCTGTTAACTCGTAAGCCGACTCATTTAAGAGATAATTCTTAAAAATAAAATACATTTCTAAATTTAATTATTTAGTATTAAAATATTAGAAGAAATGCTATATTTATTTCTAATCATTTAATTTGTATAGCTCATTTTATTTATTTTTATATAACACTTAATTTATTATTATTATTTTATAAGCTAAAAAAGTGGCACTACATTGATATTTTATAATTTTATAATAATTGTTGAAATTTAGAATAATGTGCAATAAAGCAAAATTATTTTATGGATATGAAAGAATGTATAAATAATCCTTACATGAATCATAGAATAGAAAAGACAATAAAAAGAAAATAACATGAAATAAAAGATATAACACCTAATATTTTTAATTAATCAATTCATATTTATTATTTGAAGATAAAGAAAATAATGTAAAATAGGGAAGCCTAAAATAGGAAAGTAAATAACCTATAATTCAAGGAAATAAATATAAAATAGGAAATAAAATAACTCTTAATTTAATGAAATAGTTTATTCCTCGTAACTTATCATAGGAATAAATTATTTTCTCATATAACTTTTAACACTCCATCTCAAGTTGAAACATGGTTGAAAGTCATGTTCAACTAGGATTCAAAAACATCCAACAATGGACTAGGAAGATTCTTTATGAGGTAGAGCTTGAATTCTCCATCTCTTACTTGGTAATCAACCCCATAAGCATTTACGAATGTTTCTAGTTAACTTTGGTTGTCTTTGACTATAGTTTCTACAGTGTTTGTAGTTATGCGGAAGACTCTTACAGATAATGTTTTAGAGAAGTTTCTGCGAAGTAGTCAAACTACAAAAAAAAACTGCAAGGCATGATCTACCCAAAAAAAAAAACTTCAGAGGAAGGTCTGCTTCCATAAAAGCTACGAACGAGGGTCTGCTGGAGGGAAAAGCTCTGAAGAAGGGCCAACTACAGGGAAAGCTCTAGAGGAAGACCTGCTGCCAGAAACGGAGGAGGGCTTGTTGCAAGAAAAATAACTCTAGAGGAGGACCTGCTGCAGGAAAAGCTTCGGAGGAGGATCTATTGCAGAAAAGTTTTCGGAGGAGGGTCTACTGCATGAAGGATTCTGGAGGAGGGCATGATTCAAGAAAAGCTTTGGATGAGGGTCTACTATAGGAAAAGCTTCAGAGGAGGATCTGCTACATGAAAGATTATGGAGGAGGGCCTGACTCAAAAAAACAAAAAACTCTAGAGGAGGGCCAGCTATAGGAAAAGCTTTGGAGAAGGGTCTATTGTAGGAAGGATTTTAGAGGATGGTCTGTTGCAGGAAAGATTTCGAAGGAGAGTCTGATGTAGGGAGAAGCCTGAAGAGAAAGAGGCTTTGTAGCGAGCTCCTTCGAGAGGAAAGATTCCAGAGAATGACCTGATGTAGCAGGAAAGAAACCGATGGAGAAGTGCATATAAGTTGTCTGCTAGGATTTCATTCAAGGATACATCTAGTCTTGCCTCTATAATAAATTTTCTCAAGTCATTTTGAAAGCAAACCAAAGATGAAATCTTCTGTGACAAACTTCTCTTTGTATCCATAATCTGTGCATGTGAAATTGCGAGGGATGCCACAAAAGCAGCTGCAAGAATTTGCAGCCAATAGGAAGGTGCAGGTAAGGTCTGCAAGGAAGTTTTTTAGCTGGTAGAGATGATTTACGGTTGTTAAGGACCTACAAGGAAGATTTTCAGCCGCTTGAAATCTACAAAGTCAGATATGACGACGGGAAAACCTACAGGAGGGATGTTCGATAATGGGAAGGGTTGTAGTGGAGAGAATCAACTGCAGAAGTAGGTTTGGCGATCTTGGTAGAATGTCTAACCAACAATATGTAAGTCCACAAGAAGTTCTAATAGCGGGAAAGGTTGCATGATGGAATTCCACCTATGGGAAAGGTTGTAAGGGGATAGGTCCGACTGTAGGTAGGTGCTTCGGCGGTCTTGGAAGGAGATCTGGAGGTCCAGTGGCTAGAAGAACTCGCAAGAAGGATCATCGGTTGAAACCTGCAAGGAAAATGGCCATGGGCATTATTGTGATGGGGCACCACTTTTAGCACTAGGATTGTGCACAAGTTGAACTTCAAGCTATCAAATCACATGTATGCTAGAATTCAAAGGGATTATTATTAAAGGTTACAACTCCAACATTATGCACTTGTTGAGCACTACTATGAGGAAGGACTGTCATTGAGGCATCGAATTTTTGCATTTATTTTGTATTTTAGACAAGTTTTGTTTTTTCATATACCGAAGGAATATAATAGAGCAACCCATTTTTGTGCTAAGTATGCTTTTAACGGTTTTTTCTTTTTTATGCATGCAGAGGATGATAAGGAACTCTCAACTATACTTGTAAAAGATAGATCTCACTTTGTACATCATAGATCCATACTTGTATAGTTTTTGTACAATTTTGATATATTAATGCAAATGTACATTTCAAGGAATTGGCTATGGTAAAGCCTGTAAGAAAGCTCATGGGGAAAATGGCTCCTCTACTCTGTGTG